GTGGCGGCGATGGCCAGCAGGTTCTTGAATCCATTGGCAATGCTGTGAGGGGCCGAGGCGATGGTCGGGTAGCCCACGGATAAACAGACGGCAGCCAGGTTGGCCACTCCCTGCTGGAACTTGGCACGCAGATCCTCTGGCTTGATGTCCAAGATCTCAGGCGAGAAGATGGAGCCAGAGTCGTATACCTGGCTGACGATCAGACCGTACGAGAAGGGCGAAATGTTCAACATGTTGAGCAATGTGGCCTCGGAGGCGCCCACTTTGTCGCCGGGCTTGAGGATGGGCACATCGTTGATGATTTCAATTGTACCCTTGGAAATCTTGGTCGGGATGGACAGAGCCTGGAAGAAACTGGTCTTCTCGGGTCCCAAGCCAGTGTTCTGTGCTGGGATGATGACGTTCAGGGGAGCGATGGCACCCGGACGGGCTGGGGCGCGCACCTTCGACTCAAGCAACTTGTCGCGAACCTCTGCCAAATCACCCTTGGTGAAGACAAAGCCAACATTGCCCTTGATGTGGGGTAGCAGCTTCTCCAGCTGGGGATTGTTCTCCAAATGACCGCGAATGGCCTTGCGCATCATGGTGTTCTTGCCCATCAGCACTACAGCCAGTCCGCGCAGGCTGGTACGGATGTTCTGCATCTGCTTGGAGCCCACATTGTCAGCGCCTACAATGAAGCACTTTGGAAACTCGTCGAAGAGTTCCTAGAATGGCACCTATGTTAGTGGCAATAGCCATTTGATGTGGCACACAATACTTACCACAACTTTCACGAAGTACTGAGCCTTCCATGCTGCCTTGTTCTCCCTAACCATATTGATTGTGTATTAGGGACTCGTTGAAAGAATTTAAGAACTGCAAAAAGAGCCACATATTCGATTAAAGGCGTTGCGTCGCATCAGCTTGTTGTTATTTTTTACCCATATTTGCCAAAGATGGCATATATTTTCAAAGATTTAATTTCCACTTACCAAAGCAAGAACTTTTCACTGAGGTGACTTTGACCAAAATGGCCGAGCCAAGGGAAATCGTAAATACAGCTGCAAAACCATCGATATTACTATCGTGTGCCACTGGCGGAGTTGCCACACAGATGAGAATTCCTGAAACTGACAATACAAATCATCTACTGCGACAATATAGATGTCATAATGCAGTATTGCAATCTAATCAGTACGAAATTAGCATCGAGGACGATCAAGTTTTATTTAAATTCATTATTTAAAATTCATTTAAGAAATAAAGAATTTTGTTGATAGCGGTGTTGCATGTGCTGAAAATATCGATGCATTGCTCCAAAACATCGAAACTATCGATAGTGCTCGATGGTTTGACAATACTTAAATCGTCCAAAGTTCTCCTCCTGTTTTAATGAAATAAGTAAGAGTAAAGCTGCTCAGGCAGTCAGTCAACGTACAGAAGTCACATTCCACTTTATATCAGAATGGGAAAAGATTACTACCAGATACTGGGCATAAACAGAAATGCAACTAAGGATGACATCAAAAAGGGATACAGGCGGATGGCGCTCAAATACCATCCGGATAAGAACGACCACCCCCAGGCCGAAGAACAGTTTCAGGAAGTTGCGGCCGCCTTTGAGGTGCTGTCAAACAAGGAGAAACGAGAACTTTACGATCAATACGGAGAAGAAGGTCTCAAGTCTCAAGATGAGGCGGCGCAGACATTTGCCCAGCCCACACCTGATATGGTGCCCTTTATGTGCGCAGTGGGCGGAACTGTCTTATTTGCCTTTGCAGCATACAAAACGTTTCAATTTTTCTCGAAAAAAAAGAACCCAGATGTAGACAACGACGAATCTTCATCAGATTAAATTTATTGTTAATTTACTAAACGTACTTTTCGGTGTTATTGTTATTAATTTTTTCGACTAAATAAAACAGCTGAGTGTCATCGATATTTATCCAAAACGATGAACAAAATTATGGCAGCTCAAAAAAACATCAGATAGGATTTTTGTGCATTGATTTGATATTTTGGAAAGTATTATTATGTCGGAACATTACCGGTGTGTGGATTAGTTACAATTAAAAAATATTATATAATAAAGCAACAAAACAGTTTTCAAACTCCCGGTCACGACATTCCTTGCGATAGGCCGCAGCCAAAGACCATGTAAATACATTCTTTGCGTCAGCTGAGTAATTGCAAGTAGAAATTTGCAGGTATTTGAAAATAACTGATCGAAACATTAAACATATATTGTACATTTTATATAGGATAAAATGGACAACTTCGAAGTTTTGGGAGTGAAAAGAAATGCTACCTGGGAGCAAATTAGAAAGGCCTATTTTAAAAAGGCCTTGCGTTTCCACCCAGACAAGAACAGTACCGGAGAGGAGGAGTTTAAGAAGATAAGCGCCGCCTACAAAATCTTGAAGGATCAACATGAACGAAGCAAATTAGATCAGACCTACCGCGAAAAACAAACAGGTCCCGAAAAATCACACGAAAAACACCGGCGGAAGCACAGTCAAGACAAGGAAGCTTCGTGGAACAGCTCAAAATGGAAAATTCCGTCCAAGTCAAACCTAAAAATGTATTTTCTTGTTCTTGGAAGTATGGTTTGTGCATATACGATCTAAAAAATGATTTGGAACCATAGAGCGCCTCGTGCAGCGATGATGGAAGAGGTTGCTCATTTAGCAGACACGATCGCGGCACTCGAAAAGATATCCAATGCATCGAATGCAGAGACTTCATTGACTTCCTCCCTATCATCAGCTACCAGCGCCGTAGCTAGCGCAACTGCCGGAGGGATAACCAAGATATGGAAGTGGACTACAGGGTCATCGAATGCAGCGACTTCATTGATTTCCTTCCTATCATCAGCTACCAGCGCCGTAGTTAGCGCCACTGCCGGAGGGATATCCAAGATATGGAAGTGGACTACAGGGTCATCGAATGCAGCGACTTCATTGACTTCCTTCCTATCATCAGCTACCAGCGCCGTAGCTAGCGCAACTGCCGGAGGGATATCCAAGATATGGAAGTGGACTACAGGGTCATCGAATGCAGCGACTTCATTGACTTCCTTCCTATCATCAGCTACCAGCGCCGTAGCTAGCGCAACTGCCGGAGGGATATCCAAGATATGGAAGTGGACTACAGGGTCATCGAATGCAGCGACTTCATTGATTTCCTTCCTATCATCAGCTACCAGCGCCGTAGCTAGCGCAACTGCCGGAGGGATATCCAAGATATGGAAGTGGACTACAGGGTCATCGAATGCAGCGACTTCATTGATTTCCTTCCTATCATCAGCTACCAGCGCCGTAGTTAGCGCCACTGCCGGAGGGATATCCAAGATATGGAAGTGGACTACAGGGTCATCGAATGCAGCGACTTCATTGACTTCCTTCCTATCATCAGCTACCAGCGCCGTAGCTAGCGCAACTGCCGGAGGGATATCCAAGATATGGAAGTGGACTACAGGGTCATCGAATGCAGCGACTTCATTGACTTCCTTCCTATCATCAGCTACCAGCGCCGTAGCTAGCGCAACTGCCGGAGGGATATCCAAGATATGGAAGTGGACTACAGGGTCATCGAATGCAGCGACTTCATTGATTTCCTTCCTATCATCAGCTACCAGCGCCGTAGCTAGCGCAACTGCCGGAGGGATATCCAAGATATGGAAGTGGACTACAGGGTCATCGAATGCAGAGACTTCATTGACTTCCTCCCTATCATCAGCTACCAGCGCCGTAGCTAGCGCCACTGCCGGAGGGATATCCAAGATATGGAAATGGACCACAGGGTCGTAGCCAAATCGTATGCTGTGGGCCTTACAATTTTCTTTACTGCATCTCGTATTTAGCATTGTGAATAAAAAATACTGTACAACTCTCTAATATTGCATATAGTGCTTTGCTAATTTTTCTGCGAAGAGAGAGATAGCAAGAGACAAAAACCGCCAAATTAGTGTTAGCAGACACGTCTTTCGGCTATCAGTCGAAGACTGATGTTTTCATCACAATGGCAATCGACACCACAATCAGAAACAGAGCCAGGAGCAGCATCATCAAAGCCCGAACTCGAGTTATCTAAAAAGGTGGTTCAACTGGATTAATTGGCTGCCCGTAGTCGCTTTCTTTTCGATTATAGAGCAAGTGATGAAATATTGTCAGCGCTGGCTGTGTTGTCAGTTTGTTCTACCGCTGCTACTCGAACTACTCCACGTTGCAGTCAAATATTCGAGAATTGTAATCCCAATCGTGGCAAAATTGTCTCTGCGAACATTGTTTTTTCTGGCCAAGGGCCTTGTGACCACACTGGTCCAATGGCTGGTCCAATTTCTGTCTAGTCGCTCCATTGTGGAGAATCTTGTGATTTTCGGCCACCTGTTGCAGATTCTAATTCTGGGATACTGGATGGGAATATTGCCCTTGTTTGGGTGGAGCATACTACGCTTCATTCACATTGCATTGATCATAGCTCTTATCGCTGTAAAGCTGTTTCTGAATATCCTTCTTTATATGACTGGATTTTAATAAAATTTTGTTTAAGATCTAGTAAGATTCGAAATTTATTTAGTGGTAATTGTTGTTAATCATTTTTGTTTAAAACTTATTTTGTAAGCAATCCAATCAGACGATATATTTTTATCGATAAGTCCACTATCGATATCCTGTGACGAAAAAATGAGACGTAATTATGAATGGGCTATAAAAAAGGGTATGGACAACAGGCAAAAATAGCCAAGGCAAATTGCCAGGTTCGTACGACCTCACCTCGCGGGTGAGCACAACATACCTTGAAGACAAAATCGGCAAGGTATATTGGGTAAATGTGGTGAATGTCACCTTGCATGCGTTGCATTTTCTGGGCTATGTTGCCTATTGTCCATACCTTCTTTTCCCTTCCATTATTTCGTTTCTTACAATGATTTAAGTTTTAAGTGTAATTACTATAAAGTGTCTAATCGATGGCCATTTATAAATGATGATTTATATATGTCATTGATGCAGTGGTGTTGTTAATGCGATGCAGCGCAAAAAGCACTTTGATGCTTCAAAGACGTATTATTTAGTTTATGTACACAAAACACAACACACGACAAAAAGGGACGCATCTGAAACTCGAACCCAAGGAATTCGCATGTGTTAGCAGTAAATAACCAGCTAAAGAACGGCCCCCAAGTTTGTGCAACAGCTTGGGTCGAGGATCGAGTGGATTGGCAGTTTCCATAGTATTGGTGAGTCCGGTCCGCGATAAGGGAACGGAGCAGAGCAGTCGAGATTACTGCGTATTACGTTTCACTTACACATTCAGAGAGAGCAACAGTTGCGCAACAACAACAACAAATAGAATGTCAGCGGCGCGAAATGCTGCTGAGCCAGCGGAATTGGCGGTCTTGCTCAACAACGAGCTGAGCGTCAGCCAGCCCAACGTCAACAGCAGAGGTAACGGCAATGGCAACGGCAGAACCAACATCGCCATGTACACTCCGAGGAAATTCGTTGGCCCAGCCGCAACCAGCAGCTTCAAAATGTATCCCAGCAGCTTCGAAATGTATCCCAGCAGCGCCAACAACAAAGACAAACAGTTCAATGCCATTTGCATGAAGGCCCAAGCTGGCCAAAAACTGATGATCATCATGCGCGGGCCATCGGGCAGCGGTAAGTCCACGCTGGCTGAATCTGTAATACGCCAAAGCGGTCTGCTGGAGCAAAACGACATGCTGGACTTCGTCTATAGCACAGATGATTACTTCAACAGGCGTGTCTATAAGTTTGATAGAACTCTGCTGACGACCGCCCATAACTGGAACAAGGAGAGGGTACAAAAAAAAGCCTCTATGGGCTGGAGTCCCATCATAGTCGACAACACCAACATAACGGTGTGGGAAATGCTGCCTTATGTCAAGATTGCCGTACAGTATGGCTACCTGGTGGAGCTGCTGGAGCCTCAAACAGACTGGTCAAAGTCGGCCAGCAAGCTGGCACAAAAGAACATACATAAGGTGCCCCGGGAGAACATTCAGCGCATGCTGGAGCGCTACGAGAAGACAAGTGTGCCGGAACTAATCAAGGTAAAAGCAAGAATCAAGTGCAAGTCTAAGGTTTTCCCTATTCTCAAGGTATTCTCTCTCTCTTTCTCTCTTCTCAGTTGCTGAAGGAAACCAAATACACAGTAAAGTTGCCACAGCTACGACAACACCCGCCACTGCCGGCCGTGCCCACGATAGTTACGCTGCCAGAGAACGACAATCCTGATAGTCTATCCCCAAACGGTTTCAAGCTGAATGTCAATGCCTGCAGTTGGGTGCCCCACGAACAAGGTGCTCCCAAATATTGGTCGCAATCGGGCGGTGAGCAGCCCCCATCAGCCCCCAGACTAGATCCAGTTGCTGTTGGGACTGGTTCGTACGAGAATGCGCTTATAGATCTGCTGCGCGATGACCCGGCCGAAAAGGCCCCACCGAAGGCTGGTTCCAATGAACAAACCACTTTCGAGCGCCACTGTCTTAATTGTCCCAACGAGCCCTCAAATTTCGTTTTGCTGCGTCAAATGTATCCGAACAAGCGGCTGACAGGCCTCTGGGATCTCTACGTGAAGTGCAAAACGAATGTGGATTGGGCCGTGGACATACTAATCAAAGAGGATGAGCTGAATGCCGGCTCGGAATCGGACCTTGACGCGTCCATGTTGCCAGAGGAGTCGGCACAATTCCAATGCGATTGTGGCAGAGCTGATAAAAAGGGGGAAGCTTCTCCACCCCCACGTTCACCATCGCCAACGGTCTTGGGGGCCAAGTATATGCCCAAGCCCCAACGCCAGAGCCGTAACAAACGCTTCTCGGCACCGCCAAACAAGGAGCTGCAGTTGCAAGTTGAGAACTTCTTTGTACTAGGTTTGAGATGCTTCGAATGGGAACCATTGCCCTCAAGCTCATGGATTTGATTTGTGTTTTAGGTGATGAACAATACTCGGATCACACCCGAAGGATACGCGACATACGCAATGGTATACTCGATCAGCCGATGATTGTGCAGCCCACAGAAGTCGTAGAAGCGGAGGAGGAGGAGGATCCCGACGACAATATTCTGGAGGAAATGGATTTGGGGGATACTCTGGTCCAGCAACTGCGCACTCTGTTCCATACAGATGGGGAGATGATGCCGCCGGAGCTGCCCGCCACCAAAGTGTTTGTGCCACGGCAATTGCTTAAGCAATTGTACATGCTGTGGCTGGAGGGCGTCTATAATCAGCTGGAGGAGCAGCGCCAGAGAACGTTGCGCGACGATGAACAATTCGCCCGCCTACTGAAGCATCCCGAATATGCCGAGTGCAGCGAGTCGCCCAGGAACGTGAACGAGTTGCTCGACATGGAGCTGGCCTGGAGCATTTACAACAGCGAGCAACAGGCCGCCAAGCAGGCGTCCGAGATGGCCGCCCGTCATCAGCCCAACGACATTGCCACCCATTTGACAAAAATGAAGCTGTGCGAGAAGTTCCCGAATATACCCAACGAAACGGTGCTCGAGATATTCTCGGCCACCGGCAGCAACTATGGCAAGACCGTGGAGGTGCTCGACAGTGATGTCCAGAGTTCTCTCAACGAGGCGGAGCTTTATGATAAGGCGTTGCGCGAGAGCGAGAAGGTATACCATTCAAATATGCTCAGTCTCTGCCTCACTTTAAACCACTTTTTCTGTTTAGGTCGCACTGCAGGAGCAACAGCAACAGCAACAGCAGAAGTTACAGCAAACCGTCAAAGGCAGCGAGAATAGTGCTGCAAGCCAAGGCCAGCGGTGTGTCTCGACAGCGTCGTCGAGCAGCCGCTCGCCGCAGTTGCACGAGGAGGCAAAGTGTGCCGCTCTGCGTGACTTTGAGGAGACCCGCAATCTGGCCGCCCACCATGCCCAGCTAAAGGCCGAATGCTATCTGAAGGCCAACCAGGCTGTGCAGAAGGGCAACGGCAATGTGGCGCTGTACTATTCGCAGATAGCCAATCTGCACAAGACAAAGATCGATGTGTTCAACCATCGGGCTGCCACCTGCATTATGGAAGTGCACAAGCACACCCAGAACAATCCGGATCTGCTGGACCTACACTATCTGCACACTGTGGAGGCCATCAGCTGTCTGGATCTCTTCCTCGATCGCCACATAACCAAGCTGCGCAAGAGTACGCGTGTGTACAAGCATGTGTTCATCATTACAGGACGGGGACTGCACAGCGCCAATGGAGTGTCCACCATAAAGAACAAGGTCAAGTGCAGGTTGGGAGAAAGGCGTTTACGGTGAGTCTTCAGAGGATAAATTTATGAGGGATCGCTTATCGCTTGCATTTTATCACTCCAGCTGGCAGGAGGTCAACCCGGGACTTTTGCGTGTGAAAGTGTTTTCTGCTTCGCGTCACTCGGATAACTTTTGATCAACGTCCATCAACGGTACAGGACAGGTCGGAAGAGCAGCAGCAGCGTCAGCTATCCGGGTTCTGTAATTGCCCTTTGTATTGATTCTTACAAAATTCATAGTCAGCCCATTCTGTTCGCTGTGTTTTTCTTTTAATTTTAAGCATGTTCCTCATGCCGCTGCCAAAAGAGACATTCCAGTTTATTTTTGAACGATGCATGCTTGCAACGTACCTTCAATTTCTTTAAAACTTACTTATTTTTCTTATCATCGAAGATTCGTATGAAACACGAATCGGGGGAATGGAATGGAGTCGATAAAACAGGTGCTATATTCGCATAGCCTACAAATTAACTCAAGTATCTATCAAGGATATATAACTATATATTTTTGTACTACTGCACAAGTTATTATATTAGAATACATAAGAGTATAGTCTTAAGTGTAGCCGTAAGCAAAAAAAAACTACAATTAAATATTTTTGTTATGCTCTGCAACTTTTCCACAATTAATCCAAGAGTCCCGTGTTAAGTCCTTGGGCAACGCAGGTATTCATAAAAGCCATTCCGAGTATGATTGGTGATATTTCTGCAGGTACTGGCACTAGCAGGTACCAGGTACATAGCCTCCTACCTACTGGGAACGGAACATCTGGTCACTGTAGAAAACCCCATCGCAGAGTGGAAACCAAAGTTTTTGTTGAATGTTTGAAACATGGAAAGACGATGTTTTATTTAAGACTACAAAAAGTAAGATTCCTGGTCTGTAAAATTTAAAATCAGTTCATTGTTTTCAGATACACATGCAGTGTGTACACAAAGCGAATGATTCGTATTCGGTACTTAGTCTAGAACTTGGTCGATGGCAGTCTAAGAAGTGCTCCTATGGCTTTGGTTGGGTCTAGCAGTAGCTTGGTGACGCCTTGCGCGGAGAGGTTGTTGGCGATGGCGACTTGGCAGCAGCCACTCCTGCTCCCGGCGACTGGTTCTCCTTGCCGGTGGTGGTCTGTACGCGATTGCCGATGGCCACCAGTTCCATGAGATTTGCCCGCACGCGCTTGGGCGTGAAACGCGAGGAGCCTGGGCTGTTGTTGGGTTTTTCGCGTGGCGGTGTGTTAAGGAACACGCCCTCGAAGATCGTCTCCAAGCTGTTGCTGCGACTCAGGGCCGTCTTAGTGTCTTCGGCGTCGCTGGGCGGAGTGATTTGTGCGTTGATTTCATGCAGGGCCACAAAGTCGGGATGGTTTTGGCAGGCGGGCTCCTCTGGATGATGCTGCTTCGGAGTTTCAATGTCCGAGATGTTCAGGTCATCGATGGGTGATGGCGTGCGTCCATGCGGCGAGAAGGCGCGTATCTCAAAGGCCGGCAATTCGTCGCAATTGCTCGGCTCCTTCACGCCCCCCAGATCATGCTCGAATGCCAGCGACAGGTCACTCTCGCTGTCCACCGACGACAGCGAGCACTGCAGGCGAAAGGAGCTGTTATGCTGCTGCTCGATGATGCCACACATGTGTGTATTTACCGAATCCGATGAGTCCATGTTGTGGCTCGAGTCCTTCGTCTGTCCTGTATTTATATGCGACGCCTGCAAGGCCAATGCTTCTGCCTGCTCTGGACTGCAGAAAGATTTCGCGGAAATCTAGGCTAGCAGGTAATCTGTACGCTGTTCTTTGGTTGCCGCTCCGGTCGGCCGGTTTGTTTACGATAAATATATTTTTGATTAACAAGTTACATTTTAAACCCAGCAAATATCGAAATGAGAGGTGTCAAATATATCATATCATATATCGATATATATCGATTGAGGTATACAATGAACTGAACCACCAAACGCAATTATGAGCTTGAACTAATTAACCCTTCATGGACCAATGCGTGTTTAAATACTCAAGAGGAGATCGTGCGATCGTTTTATAAAGTTCCGGGTGTCCTTTATGCACTAGAAAATAATTAAAAGCGATATGCTTACACGCCGGCCACATTGGTATTTAAATACCAAACGGATTTTTGTGTTGCTATATGGCAAAACTTAAACTGGAGCAACAACCAGATGAATATTATAATAATATTTTGTCAGTGGTATTTAAATACACAAGCTATTTATCAGATATTCGCAAAATTAAACATTTGTTATTGTCTCTATGAGAGGAGGAGCGACCGTAATGGGTTAATGATTCGGTTTCAGAAAGTGTGCGCCAAAAATAAAAAAAACACTACCATTCTCTCATAGTTATTGTTTTTCAATATGGCTTAACTGATTGCAGCGATTAGGATGCCTTTCAAGCTTATACTGTGGTAGAGTTTAGTTACTTTATTAAACGAATATGTTTCGCTTAGACGTTGTTTACATTGCCGCTGCCGGCTCGCGACTTGTCCGAAGTTCTGAACGTAGGTGATCGCTACGAGCTGACACAGCTCTTCACTGTGAAACCTACAAGCGCTTGGACGCAACAATGTACACTGTGCCGCAGTCCCTTCTGCTGCGTGGGCACCTGTGTGTTGTCCGGTCCGACAAGTCCGTGAAGTGGGAGCCAACACATGGACAATGGCCGAAAGACTGGAGGCCATCAAGGTACGGCGGTAATCGAACAAAATTTAAGTGAGATAAACATTTGAATGTTTCAGGACAGCCCCGCGCAATTGAACCTAGTGAATCCGGATCTAACCAGGTCACTGATAGAAAAGGACGTGGTGAGTCGCTAGTACCATCTTTGGGAGGGTTTTTTTTTTCCGATATTCCTGTAAAGAGCTTGCCGTGATCCAGCCAGCAGCAAAAACTTTCTAATGGTGCAGGTATATAGTCAATTTTAGAGCGGCGCGGCTGTTGTTGTTTTACTTCGACAGATACATTTGTAAGAAGCTAAACATAACTGAACACAAATAAGAGAACTCCTCTCCTGAGATCTGTCGTTTTTTCAGGCTCTGAAATGAACCTTCATCATCTAATATAAATCATACAAAATTTGGAAAAATTCTATGCCACAAGATTTACCATCTCTACCCGAAATACAATAGTCAATATTTTTCATAACTTTTATTTGAATCTGTCTTTTGTTGGTTGTTTGGTTTCTGTTTTTTGTTTATGCTTAGTTTGGTTTTGCTCGTTAAACAATTTAATTAGTGAAATTATCGTACATCGTCGTTAAAAGTCATAAATTGTGGTGTATACGATGTGTATAGTATGTACTTTAGATTAGTTTATTTAAGTTTAGTTTAGTTTATACATCGATTTATAGATCTCGTCGGCTAACTCTGTTGCATTCTGCCAAGTGCAATGAAACATTTATTTATGTATGTATATTTATTATAATTATTATGTATTTATAATTCTCGAATGTGCTAGCTTTTAGCTGCCCATCGAAACGCAATTGTTGCTGTCTGTCAAAAAAAAAAAACACACATTTAAAATTAACGGTTATATTATATTATATTATGTAACAAATAGTTTAAAGCGTATTCAAAGTATACATTAAGTACAATAGTTTAGTTCTTTGGTTTACATTTGCCTACAATTACAATTAAATACAAATCGTTAAAGTAATCGCCTAGAAAAAAAACACATTTCGTTTCATAGAAGTTGGTTTTTTTTTTCTTCTGTTTCGTTTATGTAATTAATTTATGTTGAGCGCATATTTAATTTTACTAACACTTTTCTTTGGGTTTTCTGTAGTATGCATAGAGTGAAACACGAAGTTTTTTGCCACAATCCTGTGCCTAAACATTTAATTTAATTTTATTAAATTCAATTTCATGTTTGTTCTCTTGTGTGGAACGATATATGTATGTATGTATGCATGTATTATACGAGTACACGTATGTATGTATGTATGTTTTTTTTTCTTCGATTTCATTGCATAATTTTGATGTGGGACTTGCTTGTGGCCAGTTGCCCCTTCGCATGAGTATCTAACGGGTTTAAATCTATACGCCAAATACAGTTTTACTCGCGCCTCGAAAGATCAGAGAGACATAAAGAGAGTCAGTGGCCCCTGAATGCCAAAGAAAGGAAACCAAATATGTGCTCAGATTTTCTGTGATCAATCGATGTGGGTATCTCCTTGCCAATGCTTTTGTTGCCAGCCAGTTCTCTTTCTTTCACTCTCTCTACTTTAAGTTTGGCACAAACTCTGAGTAATGCTCTACCTCTCCGTTCCGTTCCGTTCCGTTCCGTCCAGTCCGCTCCTTACTTCATGCCCAGCAGCCGCTTGAAGGCCCGCCTATAGTCCAGGTTAAAGATGGTATAGATGACCGGATTCAGGCCGGAGTTGATGTAGCCCAGCCAGGTGATGAAGTTCTTGAACTTGTCGCTGGGACAGCAGCTCTGGCAGAACGGCAGGATGACATACATAAGGAAGAAGGGCAGCCAGCAGATGACGAAGACGCCCATGATGATGCCCAGGGTACGGGCTGCCCGCCGCTCCTTGGACAGTGAGATCTTCTGTTTCTCCTCGATGAACTGGTTCACGCCGCTGGGCTTCTTCTGCAGCGGTGCGGCGGCCACTGCACCGGCGCCAGTCGATGATTGGGGCGGTGTCAGTTTGAGCGAGGTCTGCTCCTCCGCCTGGGTCACACAGACCTGCGAATAAAAAACCAATCAATCACTGCTCGCTGGATCTACGAAAACTTCAGCTAAACTAAAACCCCAAATTGGGCGAAGCTTGTGCCTCACCTGAATGCAGCCTTTGGGATCGCTGCCGCTCTCCGTGCTAATCTCTGCATCAGATTTTCCTGCAGCATTGCCGCCGCCACTGCCGCCAGCCGGCAGGAGCTGCTGCTCGCCATGGGGCTCGCAGGTGGACGCGGACTGGGACTTGCGACCACCCCGGGCCTTGCCGTGCTTGATGGAGTCCTTAATCTTGGACCGACGCGACTTCTTCACCAGCACCACCACATGTTGCTGCTGATCGTTGGTGGTGGCCGTCTTCGAGCCCTCCTGCTGGCCATGGGTCTCGCTGCTGATGCTCTCCTGGTCGTTCTGGATCATGGGCGTGGAGAAGTTGGCCCGGTCCCGGCCGCAGCAGAGCCAATTGGTGAGAGCGCGAGACTTCGAGGAGGAGGCTGCAGCCGGCGAGGAGTTGGTGATGGGCTCCAGCTCCGTGGACTTGAGGGCAATCGTGTTCAGCTTGGTGGCCTTGGCCCGCTCCCGCAGCCGTCGCCGCGTGGCCACAAAGATCTCGATGTAGACAATCGTCATGATGGCTAGCGGTATGAAGAACGAGCCCAGCGAGGAGTAGATGACGTAGCCCCGTTGCGAGGTGAGCTCGCAGGGCGTGGCGCTGGTGAACTCGTCGGGCCAATCGTTCCAGCCGATCAGCGGCGGACTGCTGATCACCAGCGAAAGCACCCATACGCCGGAGATCAGGAGCAGGACGCGGCCCACTGTCCGCTTCTGGGCATAGTTAATGGGATCGGTTATGGCCCAGTAGCGGTCCAGGGCAATGGCGCACAGATTGAGGATGGAGGAGGTGCAGCAGAGCACGTCGCAAGTCAGCCAGAGCTTGCACAGGTGTATGCCGAACTCCCAGCGTCCCAGGATCGAGTAGGCCACGTTGAACGGCAGCACCAGCAGGGCCACCGTCAGGTCGGCCACCGCCAGCGAAACGATGAAGAAGTTTTGGACAATCCGCAGCGGCTTGTACGTGAACACACTGAGAATAACCAGGATATTTCCTATAATCGTTAGCACGATAATTATCGACAGAACCAGTGCGGTCAGCAGAGCCTCCCACTCTGGGACGGCCAGCTGCAGGCCGAGAATGCTGGCGTGCAGCTCCTCAACGGCACCGCCGCCACATTCCTCCGATTCGCCCGGACTAGTGCCCGCCGTCGTTGTCAGCGCAGCTGCCACTGTGGTCAGCCCCTCCACCAGCGAGCCGGATATATTGGCTGCTGTTTCCGTGGCTGATGCGCCCCGTCCGCTGATTTCGTCTGCCTGGCTGCTGCTGGCGGCGGTGGCGGCAGCGGCGGCGGCGGCTGCAGCGGCAGCGGCAGCACTGACAACAGTTACCGATTTCGTCGATCCGCCGGCTGCTGCTGCTGCTGCTGCTTCCGGCGCTGTGCTGACAGCGGCTGCCGCGGTAAAAGCCGCCGCTGCCACCGTTGTGGTGACATTTATGAACAAGATTTGATCTGCCGATGGCATTTTGGCATTGCCTGTCCTGTCCTGTCCTGTCCTGCCCTGCCCAGCCCTGCCCACCAGCGCTCGGATCACTCTTACATGCGTCCTTCAAGGGTGTGGGAGAGGGGGAGTAGCGGGGTTGGAATGTATGGGTGGTGTCCTGCAAAGAGAAATGGCGTGAAAAACAGGATTAATGTGGCTGCAACTTTCAACGCAGAGAGGATGTGGGTCAGACATTTGAAAATCCAAAGTACTACAATCCGAATTCGTTTCCCAGTAAACGCCCCCCAATGGCCTCTTTGGCTCAGTCGGAAGTTTTCAGCCGTCAGCCATCAGCCATCAGCCATCAGCGATGGGGAAAAAGTTTTGTCATTGCAAATGTGAAGGACTCAAGCACAAGGCAATCAGGATCATGTCAAATCCAAATTATTTACAACTTGTCAATAAGCATGCAAAGATTCCCTCACAATTCCCAGCCAAGACAGTTGAATGATGGGACCACCAGTCCCAGTCGAACCGAAACGGAACCGGAATGGAACCGAAACGGAACGGAAAGGAACGGAACAGCACATGGATAGAGCCGAAACCGGGGCAAAAAGGTCAAGTTGATGGGGCATCCTTTGAGGTTCGGGGCAGCTACACTTGTCAATCCGATGGAATCCGCGACCAGAAGGTTATTAACAATTTAAATGACGCATCTTCTCGCATTTAACTCTGGGTTGGATGAAATATTTAGAAGTAATTAAAAATGTGCAGCCCCGAAGTACTCAAGGAAGGACTCAGCTGTCTGGAATGGGACTGGGAATCTAAGTAAACGGTTTTCCCGAGAAGATACTCGAAGGGTGTTCCGTACAATAGCTTGTTGATCCCTTCCCCACCGCCCCACCGCCTCACCGCCCCCTCATCAATAAGAACCCACTGCTCACCCCATAATCATCCAATAATTGTTGCTCTGCTCTCGCCGGTCCTCTCCCACTTGACACTTCTATATCCGTTAAGCTCTTCCCAAGTTTACCCAAGGCATACCACCTCGCCCCCGCCCCCACCCCCGCCCCTAGTGATGGCAGTTGAAAGAACATTAATCAAAATAACCCGCTCATAAACTGAACACTCCGAGGGAGCAGGAAGAGAGAGAGAGAGAGGAAGGAACAACTTTGAAGCAAACATTTCCATTCAGCCAAAAATTGTTTTGAGTTTTTTTTGTTGTTTTGTTTTTCGCCGCGCCATGGGAGGGGGGAGGGGAGGCCTGAACCCTGAATCCCACCTTGATTTCTGTCGGCAAATGTAAAGCTTTTAGCTCGGGTTGTGGACGGAAGGCCGTTCTTTGGATAGGAGGTAGGCAGCGGATATTTTTGTACAAACAGATGGGGGAAAAAGTTTTAAGCGATTTTTAGTTGGTTACCTGGCCAAGATTTGAACAAGATATCGGGCACGAGTTGAAGGGGGTAAACCCCACCAGATCGCTGAGTGGGGGGCCTTAAAGAGCATTTCCCTATCATTGATGGAACCCAGGCGACATATATAATTAAATAAATCTTGGGCGGAGGACGGGGAGCGGCCTGTTTTGTTTTTGAGACTGTCCTGGCCGCCGGGCGATAAGCTTATTACAAAGCCCCTGATTACGGCTCCCCCACGACTGCTACTCTTTTCATGTGAGTGGGTGTCGATGTGCGGGTGTGGCAACAGCTTAGGATAGTTTTGGCCCTGACTCGGGCCTGGGCTCGGGCTTGGGCTCGGGCTTGGGCTCGGGCTCGGGCCCAGTGCCTTGGAATGGGGTAAAAGTTTTTTGAACTCGCATGCAGTCGCCTGCAAAGGATGCGGCGACCTTGACTTGACCAGATTTCTCTGCTATACATTTGAATACACATATCCTGCGCGTATGTATGGGCATGTCCTTTTTGGCAAACTTGTCATTACCATTGGTGTGTGTGTGCGTGTGTGCGTGGATGTGGGAAAACCACTGCTGGGGATAGAAAACTTTTGCTAGTTTGGGCAGAAAACAGAAATCGAGAATCGCTGGCGAAATCAAATGGAATATTTAAGGGTTTTCCTTACATCTGCCCCCCCCTCCGCCCCCTCGGAAGAGTATCCCCGCTTCGTTGAGGCGATCTTTTTGTTTTATCCAATTTTCTGCCGTGTCATGCTCATTAAATATGCAAGAGTTCCGGCGTATCTGCAAGATACACGCATCCTAACACCACCCACAGAGAGCACTGCCCGTCTTATTTATAGCCCACATTAGGCACTTGGCCATCTAAAAATACTGGAACCCCCCCCCCAAAAGAAAGAAAGAAAAAAAAGTCGAGAGACGGGCAGGCGAAACGCTTTGATGCTGATCCAGTTTGCCACACACACGCACAGAACAGAACAGAAAAAAAACAATGATAATAATGAAAGATACGTGAATAGACCCGGACACATGTATCTTGGGGAATTTCTGTTAATTGGCATTGATGGGCGAGTGGGCCACGCCCCTGGACTCCGGCTCTTTAACACCTCCGAGCTCCGTTTCTTTTAATTTGCATGATTAATGGGGCGTACAAACACCCAAATTTCCCCCATAATTACACGAACTAAACGAAAAACACACACAAAATAAGAAAAAAAATGTACCTAAGAAAACGATTTGATTTGCTTGGCTTTGATTGCGTGGCAGCTCTTTTTGAATACCGGGCAATTTTAAATATTTCATGCGCAATTTGAACGAACTCAATTGATTGGAACTTTCGACATTTTTCGCGCCTAACTAAACATGGTTATGCCCCGAAAGGAATGCGAGTGGGGGGTAGGCCTTCGAATGTTTCCCTTGCTTGAAGTTTTCCCTTTGATTTCCACTATTCTTGGCAATTATTGTAGCAGGTCGCCGATCTGTACGGCAACTGACAGCTGGCCAGGCTCCAGGCTCCCGATAAGGCCAGTGAAACTCTGATGGCAATTCAAATTCCAATTCCCATTCCAATTCCCATTCCCAGGCCTAAACTCACCTGCGTTTTTGCAGTTTCTCCCATTACCTATCGACCAGAACTATGCCGGCATGAGCTCGGGACTCGGGACTCTGCCTGATGCTGAACCCAAATGAAAGTCCACATCTTCTCAATAGAGTGCAATCCGGGAGCGAGTCCAGGGGGAGGGCCTTATCCGCACACGGTCAGGCTCTGCGGTCCATTCAGGATATTCACGCATTCCACGTTGAGCCCCCAACGGCCCTTCCACAATTTTTGGGCTTTTATTACGCAACTATCGATGCAGTTTTGAGATAGAAATGGGATTATGTGGGACACTCTCTCACTGGGCCCACCAGGACTGCCAGGACAAACAAAATATTTAACAATATTTATAAACGAAACGTGTCGGCTTCGGTCCATTTATATCCGTTCAGAGCTTGCAGGCTTAATGCATTTTAAAGGAGCAGCCATGCATCAGTCCAGGAAGACACCTCCTCCCACTCCCACTCCCACTCCCTCTTCCACTTCCACTTCCACTCTTATTCGGGCTGGCTGCAATTTTGTGAAGGCCAGGTTTCTTGGGGCCTCCCTTTTGTTACGGGTCTGTTGTGCAGGTGCTTTTCCGCAATGACAAGAACATGTGATGTGTAAAACAGTGTGAAGATCGTTCCTGACACGGGGGACAGGAGGCAAGATAAAGGCCGGTGCCTGCCAGGAAAAGTATTTGCAGGGCAGTGACGAGAGAGGGAAGGAGAGGGAGAGCTGCTGGCAACTGACTGATTGGATGGTTATTGGAGAATGCAAATTACTGAGGGATTATAACGAACGGATTATACCGTCAGAAGGGTATGCTCCTCGTACACAATGTGGGGATTCCTGAAACGGATTAGAGAGCCTTCAGACTGCGTCGACTATCGCGAGAGCCCGATTTTGTTTCCTTGTATGTTTAAATCGATCGGTGAATGAAATTGCTGGCACAACTGCATAACCCTCCATGGCATTCCGTCGTGGGCTGTGTCAATCGTTTCCCCGTTTCTGTTGAAATGTCAGCAATTTGTGCGCCGCTATCCTGGCGCCCGACAACTTGGCACGTTTCTGGGAGCTAATGCGGGCCAAGCTATTCGAAAATTGATGCATACTCGTACTGTTGCACAATCAGGGGGGGCAGATGGGACAGATGGGGATGGACACGTGCAGCGTCCGACAAATGCTCTCAACATACATCTGTGTGAGTATACCTGAAAGTGATAAACATGGAAATCATCATCATTGGGGGGGGGGAAAAAAGAAGCAAACCAGCCATGTAAGCTGCCAGCCAAACGAGTATCCTGCCGTTGCTTGTGCTTGGCCACGCCCATGAAACGTACGTCTGTCCGCCTGTCTGTCCGTCAGTCAGTCAAAAATTGCACTCGAATGCACATTTTGTGCCAGCGAATCGAACCCTGGTCGGAGACCCATTGAGCAGCGCCAAGGACCAAGGATATGCGATGCGAGAGAGTTGCAAATGGAAGTGCTTTTTCCGCTGGCACCCACACCCACACCCACACCCCCACCCACACCCAAACCCACCCATTTCTCTTGGCTGTTTGGTAATTGCTGAAATACTTGTAGGGTTTTGGATGGGCGTGTCATAGTGGTCTGTATTTAGCAATGCTTCATCCCACTGTGCCATTCAATCGAAATTCTTATCAATTTATTTTACTGTTGCAGGCAGGAGCCCTTCCCCCCATTACAAGCCAATTTACTGTGGCAGGATAACAGCCCCCTCCTCCAGCACATAATTTCCTATTCCTGCAGCGATCGGGGAAACATGGAGCATTAGCTGGGGATTATGCGGCATGTGCCTCCACCCCCCTCCTTTGATGTCTTCCACACTTTTTAGTCCATTCAACATGTGGTAGGCGTGTCGGGCTTCCTGTTTCCATTAATGGCCCCCACCCCCCGCCCTTGTCTGACCCTGAATGCTCTTTTAATACACATTCTATTCGTTTCGGCTAAGACAAAATGCTAAACTATTCATGAATTGATTTCCCCTTTTCCACCGATTTCTGTTTATTTGTCTGCCCAGCGGGTGGCGGGTGGCGGGTAGCGGGTGGCGGGTGGCGGGTAGCGGCCCAGGGAGCCATAAAGTGCTGGCTGTCTTCTTCGTAGTAAAATCAATTTGTAAAACTAATTAATGATATCATCTTTTTGGCTGTTGTCTCTCCCAATTAGC